GGAAGGTGCGTTGCTACGCTCCGGAGGCTGCTTTTCACCGTCCGTCTTCTCTGTTCCAGGGGCTGGACTCCGCGCCGTTCATGAAGCCGAAATCCTGCCAGCCCTTCGGCCCAGCCAGCAGCTTGGCAAGGCAGGTGCGATGTCAGCTGCTGCTGAAGATGCGGATTTGCTTCTGGCCGATGCTGAAGGCCTTCGCCAGTGCAACGATATTCGCAGGCGTCCTCTGGCACATGAATTTCGTCCGTCTTCTCTGTTCCAGGGGCTGGACTCCGCGCCGTTCATGAAGCCGAAATCCTGCCAGCCCTTCGGCCCAGCCAGCAGCTTGGCAAGGCAGGTGCGATGTCAGCTGCTGCTGAAGATGCGGATTTGCTTCTGGCCGATGCTGAAGGCCTTCGCCAGTGCAACGATATTCGCAGGCGTCCTCTGGCACATGAATTTCCTTGGCTACCAATCCGTGGTCCCCGGCAGAGTCCTGAGGCCTGAGACACCCCTGACAGTCTTGGTCTGGCACTGGCCCTTCCAGGACACCCTGAACCAGAGCGTGGACGTGTGCGCAGATCGCTACAGGATCCCGGGCTGCCAGCTGACGGGGGACCGCAAGCTCTTCAGCCAGGCAGATGTGGTGGTGTTCCATCACCGGGAGCTGCAGACGGGCACTGTAAGACTCCCAACAGAGCAGAGGCCTCCTGGACAAAACTGGGTCTGGGTTACTCTGGAGTCCCCTTCCAACACTAAGGCCCTGGCCAGCTGGAACCGAACCTTCAACTGGGTGATGACCTACAGACGCGACTCGGACATCTTCATGCCATACGGAGAGCTTGTGCCCCGGCCATCCGCCAGCGTGGACATCCCAAGCAAAACCGGCCTGGTGTCTTGGGTCATCAGCAACTACCACCGGGCTCAGAAAAGAGCCCAAGTCTACCAAGAGCTGGCCAGACACCTCCACGTGGATGTGTACGGGAAAGCAAACCAGAAGCCGCTGTGCCCAGACTGCCTGCTGCCCACCACCTCCCGGTACAAGTTCTACCTGGCCTTCGAGAACTCCGTCCACCAGGACTACATCACGGAGAAGCTGTGGAGGAACGCGCTGCTGGCCGGCACAGTGCCGGTGGTGCTAGGGCCGCCCCGCGCCAACTACGAGAAATTCATCCCTGCCGACTCCTTCATCCACGTCAAGGACTTCGGCTCCGTGAAGGAGCTGGCCAGCTTCCTGAAGACCATGAACTCCAGCCTACAGGGCCTTCTTCGAGTGGAGGAAGAAGTACGGGGTGAAACTCTACACGGACTGGAGGGAGCGGTTCTGCACCATCTGCACCAGATACCCCCAGCTGGCCCAGGGGCACATCTACTCCGACCTGGAGAGCTGGTTCCGGGCGTGAGAAGACGGGGCTGGGTCGAGCGGAGGCTCCTCGGAGCTGGGTGCTTGTGCTGTCTGCAGCAGCGGAAAAGGGCTAGCTGGGCCAGTCATCGCTGGTGGGCAACTGAGCAGGGCGGGGGCTGGGAGCCAAGAACGCTCAGGACCAGGCTCACCTCTGACTGGTTCTTGCTGGGACCGGTGCATGGGGCGGTACTCGGCTTCCCCTTAGAACGGGCTGACGGACTCCCCTACCTCGCAGGGCTGTTGCGAGCTCTCACTGGTGCCTTGAAAATACACGGTGCTACATGCCGAGCGTTGTGCCTGCAGGTTAGGGGGCGGGCAGGCTCGGCTCTGGCCAGGGAGCTTTGCCGGGCTGGGAAGATGGGGTTTGCCAGCCCCTGCTTGGGGACCAGCTAGTCGCGCCCCTTTGCCCCCTCAGGAATATATGGGGCAGAGGAGCAAAGTTAGGGGGCAGGGCAAATGTCACCCTTCTGGCTGTGCCGAGAGCAGAGGTTTCCTGTCTTGCTCGTGCGTGGGCCGTGCCAGGTGCTGCCCGGCGGAGCTGCCGTGGTGGGCGCTGGCAGAGCCGTCTCAAGAGCAATCACAGCCCGTTCAGTGCTGGGACGATTCATACAGCCAGGGCTGTGGTTTCTCACTCCTGCGTAGCGTTCACACCTCCGGCAGGAAGCCGTTGAGTCTGGTTTCGCTCTGACGCGAGGCTCCCGGCAGTGGCGATGGCCTGAGCCCTGCCGGCTGCTTTCCGGGAGGTGCCCGGCCAAGGAGCACGGGCGCCCGTCTTGCAGCCTGGATTAAAGATGGGAATTTATGCTCGTCTCGGGGGGGAAGAGGAGTGAGCGGAGCGGCTGGGGAAAACCCCGCCCCCCCCC